CAGCCTTTTGTATCCCCAGGTAAACCCTAAACTTAAATAAGCTCTAAGCCAAAAGACCTATAACAACTCCCAACCCCAGCGGATAACGGCTCAGGTACGTCTCTACAACGGCAGGTGCCACACGCTTGTACCACCTGGCGCGTGATGTGGTGCTTTCGCAGTGCACGGATATGCCCAAGCTGTCAGCACCGGCAGCAGATGCCCTGCCGAAGGACAGGCTTTACAGTTCGTGCTTTGGCTCAGGGTTCGGGGCCCAGATGTTTCACGAGATGCAAGCCGGGCAGCCTCGGTCCCTTAAACCAGGCCATCGGAACAATACCTAGGGATATTGCCCCCAACAACAAACCAAACCCTGCACGTGGAACCCAAACCACATCCTTTGAAGGATGCCCTCGGGTACACCTACGTCTCGCCGGACAGTGTCAAGCTTTGGCTCGCCGCGGTGCTTGTCACCTTCGCGCTGTCTTTCGGACTGTGCTTGCGGGGATGGCATCCTTTGTCCTTTTTTACATCCAAGTGGCTCAATCATTGCAGGGCTGTCCCTTTAGACGCTACACTCAGTCTAGTGGCGAACACTTAGTCGCGCCGTGCCACCAACTGAAGCTAGCGTTTCGTTGCACTAGACTATTGGCCGAGAGAGTATGGAAGTTGGAGCCAAGGTCCTGCACGTACAGCTTCTGCGCCCATCTCGGAAAGGTGCTCCGCAGCGGCGATTGCAGCGACGTGACACCAACAACACCGTTGCCCCTTGAAATAAATGTCAATCTCAGAACAGCCGAATAGTCCAGCTCTTTCGAAAAAGTTTTTTGGGTACCGTGCTCAACTATAGTGGCCTCAGGGAGTATAAAATCTCTGGCGCAATCCCTGCCCGACTGAGGGTCGGCCTTTCATGAAACCGGGGGTAGGCAACTTAATTAGGTGAATGCCCGGTTTTGCTGCGCCATGGCCTTGCCAGAGCTTATCTCCAGTGCTTTCTTCAAGGACTTCCCACAACCCTTCTGGTCCAGCTTCCCTGAAGCCCTTTTAGGGATCTTTACTGTTACAGGGTAGCTTCCTATGTCAGCGCTTGGGATGTCACAGCATCCCTCAGTGCAAGTGAGGCCCCTGGCCACGATTTGCTGGTTCGGATGGAGGCGCTACCACTACCAGGCCAGTATCCCCAAGACGGCCTCTGGGGTGCCAATTGAAATGCTTTGTGTACAGTTGTTGCCTCAACATGGTCGTTCAGCTGTGGGTTGTTTCGTTGTCGCTCTAATTGGTGCTCTTGGTGTTTGAGGCTTCAAAGGGGGGCTGACCTTGCGCGCATGCACTCCTGTGAATTCACATCCAGCACAGAATTACCGCTGGAAAGTAATGTGCCTTGCGTACGCACAGGCCTTGGGTCTGAACTCAAGCTTACCCAACAGGGTTGACTTGTTCGAGTAGAGTCTGAATTCATTTCAGCTTAGGCCACCTTGGTTGCCAGCACGCTCATGGCAGCTGGACTTGTGACACGTACCTGGGACATGTTCGGTGTTCCTTTCAATCTTTTTCTTTCTGGCCTTGCTGTCATTTTCCCACAGCTAGTAGCACCCCGGGCTTAGGGCCGCCAAGCCGTCACAAAAAACATGGGCACCGGAAATCTGGTAGAGTTTTCTTTGAGCCTGCGAGCCCAAACGGCAAAGCGTGCCCTAGAACCAAACTCAAGGCATCTTGGCTTGCTTCTGGCTGCCTTTTGCGGCCGCGGGGGTGGAGGTCACACAGGCTTCCGGAGCCACGATCTTCAAGGATGACGCCCTGCCACTAGGTCACCCAAAATTGCCGTACCTGTAATGTTGAAAATTTGTATTCAGGGTATTAAGGCAAATAGAAATCATGCCTTGGTCTACTTCTACAGCTTTACGATTTGGATCTCGGGCCCCGGAACTTACCACAGAGAGCAAATTTGAGCATTCTAGCAGGATGGTGTGGATGGTTCTCCTGAAGGATGCGGTCATATTGGACCGTTCAAATAGTGACAGTTTTCAGGGAAGCCACTCTACGCACTACGTCAGACCTCCTGCGACAGCACTCCAAGGGAATAGAGTTACTTCAAATGATAAACCACAGTTGTGCAGCTCTCAGCACATGTGAGGGTTTCAAAGGGTTTCCCTCAATTATACCCCAAAGTCATGCAATCCTTACTGTAGGGACCCTCCCATAAAGTGGCTGCGATTTTTGGAAGCACCCACCTTGGAAATGGCCAAGGTTGGAATACACCTTCTTCGGCATTGGCGTGCAGTTTGGCGTGGGAGGCTCTCTCTACTGCGAAGCTCCTTGGATTTTATTTGGACATCCTGTGTAGGAATGTAGGAAGTTCTCAGGAATTGGGACCCCCTGGACGTCCAGCTGATAAGGACTGGAGTATCTTTGGGCCTTCGTTCTCTGGATAGACTAGGTTGTATCCATGTAGCTAGCTTCCAATCAATTGAATCCCAACCCCTAACTCCGACGCAATCCAAACTTTAACCCTTCTCCAGAAAGGTCCTTTGGTTCTTCATGTCCTTGGTGTCGTCCATGTCCTGCCATGCCATCATGGCCCCTCGGCAGCTTTGGGTGTGGAGATTACATGCCGCCGTCCCATGTGTTGTGGGATCTAGAACTTCGCACGGGCTTAACATGCGTTCAGCACTTTGGGTTTGGGCCTGGGGTTCGTTCAGGGACAGGGTTACGGATCTCAGGCTCGGGCTTCGGACTGCGGGCATGCGGTTCAGGTTTTCATGCTGGCATAAAACAAAGATAACAAAGCTAGGTGTGGAACATGCGCAAGTTTCCAAGGTGGGCAGGGTGTCTTGTTTGGGTTTATGGCGCAGCTGCCTTCAAGTATGGATTTGTTGGGGCATATCGGTGCTGCGACGTGATTCAAGAAGATGAGTTGCCTCGGTATGACGATGTGTGGTCGAAGTGGGCAGATGAACAATCATAGTGTCGAATGGTCTATACCCTGCAAACGTACATGTCCTACATGGTCCTGATCAGCTGATCATATCTGATCTGCCCCCTACATAACCCACATGCATGTATACATATATATGCATACACATATCTGCTAACATCGTCACGTTTTTCCCCGTCCAGCCCGCTTCAGGTGCATTCATGATATTCCCGCCTAATGTCTGTATGTTCCTTTGTTAATTATGCCCATCATGGAAAACTCAGGTGCTGGTGTGGCTGACGCCGTTCCTGGCCCAGCACCGCCGGAAACTTCTTCTCGTGGCCCTGGTGCTCGGGCGATTCCCGCTTTCCGAGCCCTGGGAAGTTGTTGGGGGTGTATTGCTAGTCTCGAAGTTTGTACATAGTATCTGCTTTGGACCCCGAAGTCTGTAAACACCACCAGCTTGCGTGTTCATGGATAGACAAGGCTCCCCGAATAAGACAGTCTTGCAATACACGCGTGCTTGTGTGACATATGTTGGGGATTTTGGAAGTCCCAGGGTTCTGAAGAGTTTGATGTGACAGCGTCATGCACGTCCGGTGGACAATGCGTGGGTCAAGAAGTTCCACGGTTAAAATCCTATAGCGGTTCTCATTATGGGCTCAGGGGTTCCCTATACTCCAAAAATGAAGGTGACCAGTGACAGTCATCCCATTACACCTGCGGAACAGCTGAGGAGATGGAGACCACTGGCAACACGGCCATGGCCTTGAGCAACGATGTGCCTGGGCTGAAGGGTTTTGCCTTCAGGATGAAGGTATGAAAGCTTTCACAACACACACAATTTAAGAGCTCTCACAAATAATCCGTCTTCAAAGCTGTTGGAATGCACAAGACGTACCCGTCCCCTTTCACTGCACAAGTAGTGCAGCCCCTTAGGTGCTGATGCCCTTGGGCATGAAGCAGACCCTGGGACTGGGCCTGCAGGCTGGAGCCTACTGCTCCTGGCTCCTGGGATGCTTTTGAGATCAATATGATTGCTATTGTAGCGTTCGCACCAGGGGTCGCGCTAGGGGTTCTATAAGTGGGCTTTAAGCGAGGTAGGGGAAACCCAAGCCATTATCATGTGGTATCCTATAGTTGTTGATACGAACTGGCATGGATAGCGCTATTGTTTCGTAGTGGTCATATTTTGATTTTACCGGGTTGTATGAGGCATCAGAAGAATTGTACTTCGGAGGTACCCATTTTGAACATTGAATTTAAGATTTCCAGAGAATAGGCAAAGATTTGAGATGGTAGAATCCAACGTTGCGAGTGAGACTGCAGCATCCATAGTTGGTTTGGATCCCAACTCTGAGAGGATGTTTTTGGAGCAGCGGGTTAAAGCTCACAGTTGGAAGAGCATGCTGCGCTTGGAAGACGGGCACCAAAAGCATGGAGGTAAAGGCTGCGGAAATTTGACAGATATACGTCAGGCTGATGCAATCAGACAATCCAGACTTGTTTAAAGCTTGCGAGGGATATTGGTGGCACGTGTTATATTGGTTGCGTCAGTGCCAATGAATGTTTTGGCATCATGGATGAAAACAGTCAATGTGATGGAACCCTCCAGCGCTGGCTTCACAAAACCCAGGCTCTGAGGTTAAGCGCATGGGATGACTCATTTTTGTCCGTTGAGGCTGTCCTATACTAACCTCTGGGCAGACTGGGAGAGGAGTAGATAAAGAATACCTCAAGTGGCTTGCTGCATGTTGGTGACCTTGTTTGGTCAGAGTTGAGTCACAAAGTACTGTATGCGACTGCAAGAGGCCGTCGCGCGTCGCGTGGTCATGGTCCTTTTCCAGGGGTTTGGGGTGAGTTTCCTTAAATCATTAAAGTCATGAGAAGGTGGCTGCTCGTCAGTTGCCATGATGTGGGGGAGACAGTGCAAGACTCAGATCGCTATAAATGCGTTGGCATGGAATAAGTCAAGGAACCTACACCTCCCCGCCTGTTACAAAGCACCTGTGGCCTACACTGCTGGAGCCCCTTTCTTCTATCAAAGTCCAGGTTCTCGACGGTCTGCACATTGTTTGCTAACCTTCTGCTCCTGAAGCTGTTGCCACGCCCCATCAAGGACTGGGCCGGTCAGGATAAGCAGGGAGATATGGAGGTTGTCAAATTATGGCCCCTTTTCGGGTAGCCTAATTATTAAGGCAGTTTACGCAGGGGACCCAAAAAGGTACCGTAGTTGTTGTGAAAGCTTCCAGAATATGGGCGCTTCAGCAAGAGAGGCAGACCCAACCATACATATGCATCTGTATATGCATTTGTATATACGGTACGTCTACATACCACAAATTCTACAAGCTGAGCAAGGGAACCTTTCTTTCGCTGGTATAACCACTGCTGCTGTTGCTGCTGCTGAAGCTGCACTTAGTGCCCGGAGCTGAAAAGTGAAAGGAAAGCTCTAGACAGACAGCCCTCCCAAAAAGCCGATAGGACCTGATGAGGCGCGAACAGTTCCTCCTGTACTCCTTGTCAGTTTCTCTGTCCGATCTTACACCAGGACTCAGCAGTTCATCCGGAAACCAGGAGAACCGGCAATAACACCTCAAACAGCCGGACTTGAAAGCGCTAAGACTGCAGCCTGCAGGAGAAGGATTGGGCAGCAGGGAAGGCCCCAGTGAACGTGTCCGTGATGCAGGGCTTGGCAAGCGCGGCTATGGTAGCAGGCATTTGTATGTGGCCCCTGGGACGTGACAAGAAAGGTTCACGGGTTGAATAGCGTTTTTTTTTGTAGTGAGTGTGGCGCTTCCCGGCGCATGCCATCAAGTATTGATAGAACGTGTGTGTTTCTAGTTTCGGACCTATACTATATTCCCTGCCTGGGCACTCAGACAGTAGGATCAAGGAGTTTTAAACGATCACCCTCATGATTGCCACACATTTTGTGAGCTTACTTCTTTCACGAATCATCCCGGTTAGTTCGTTGGTCTTTCCAACATTTTGGCGCTGAATACCATGAGTGAGCAAGGTTCTTCTGCGACTTCATGGAGGCCGTCACGGACGGAGTTGCCGGAGCGCTCATCGCTCCATCGAAATTCAGCGCCCAGAGTTTGGGTGGGACGGACGTGTGCCTCAGCTAATCTCGTCTGCCTAGCTGCCGTAGTCGACACGTGGTTGGTATAGCTGGAAAGATCGCACCCTGTGAGCCTTAAAGGATTCGAATATGAACAACCCAGCAACCGCATTCTTGGCTCCTGTAGCGGCGTCTGATAAGATTTCAGTACTTCAGCGGCTGAAGGTCTCCGTTTGTAAACTTTGCAGGGCGCCGTGTTTTTTTCCGCCCATCACCTCAAATCCGCCAGGCGTCTCAGGGTCATGGTGCTCCTTACCGCCGTGGGCTGCCCCATCCTGCACATCATCGCATTCCTGCTGGGTCTCTCCGGGAAGGCTCCGAGACTAACTAGGACGGGATTCTGCAAGGTACAGTAAGGTCTTAGGGCTGTTTTGGTTTTCATGGTTGTAAAACCTGTTTCGTGCAGTCCTTGTTCTGGGGGTTGGTAGAGTGAGAACTTCTCTTTTGGAGAAATCCTCGCGCTTTCGGTGCTTGGACTTGACAGCAATTTGCCTGACATGACTTCGGGTGTTCTCCAGGAAATTTTATTTTAGGATCATGAAAGGCGGCTGCGGCTTGTAGGCATTGAGCTTAAACTAAGTGTCCCTTCAACCTACGAGTACAAGAACGAGGAGACCTCCATTCTGGTAGAGTGGGCTTCCAAAGCTGCAGCGGCACGATTCAGAGACGCTTTCAACGCGTTTGAGAGAAGGAGCCTGAGACAAAAACCCAAGTCAACCCTGAAGTTGCTTCTCATGAATACCCAGGCTACCTTTCTAGGATTTTTCCAATGCAACAGACTGGTTACTGGCCTTCGGGTCATTCCTCAAACTTCAACCTGCAATTCTTTGAACATGTTTCACTTGCGTAGGTATTCCACTTGCATTCAGACTTGGAATCAGCGAACTTGTTCCCGACACCTAAGTTTCCCCAGAAGCGTATATCCGAATTGCAGAAAGTAGGATAGAACACATCCAAACACACGAGGGCCAAAATCCTGATGCCTCTAAGCAAAACTTGTTCAGCACCAGCGGGAATCCTACATTCTACCCACAAGGCCCCGCCGCTTGCATGTAGAATAAGCACATGCTCCGTGATGAATGGCCCCAACAAGGAAACTCGATCCCATTTACACAATAGCCAAAGCTTCCTACATAGAACCCACTTGTAAAAGTACCACAAAAGCTTCAAAAATTCTTGTGGCTGCTCAGGCGCCCGGCCTGGCGCGGAGCCTGGCCGGCTTCGCGGCAACATTCTGCCTCCTGGACCGAGGGTCCAACCAGATGAGTGGGTACTCAACGCGTTAAAACTGACTATACAGGAGCTACATTCTGATGGTATGGGGCTTTGCAAGGAGTGATTGCATGGGGATGAACCGGCAGGATCCTTGAAATAACCCGAGGCTGAACGCTTACAACCACGCGTCAACATGGTTACGCCGTCTTCGGCAAAATCCTACGATCTTGCGCCCTTTGTCGACCCTTGACTTGTACTTCACTGCCACCTCCCAGAAATATACGGTTCTTGCGGCGGGTCCAAAGGAAGAGGATGAGGACCTTTTGGCTCTGGAAGCCCTGGCACCCTAAACACGCAGCTGACAAGCCCAGCCTCAAGCTCCATGTGCGCTGCCGCGGGGTTCCTGATCACAAGCACGCCAACAAATGTATATGCGCATAAGCAGCCTTCTAAATCTAGGCTATCAGCAGGAGCCGCCACAACGGAGAAGACATAAATGCCAAATTCTGCCACATGGCCTGCAGAATACCAGTACTGTAGAAACCGTAACCGTTGCCCATATAGCCCCCTTCTAAGCCAGAATCACTATACGATCACATGCAGATACGTGTACAGTAACATGCCCCAACACCGTATGCCTATTAGCTAGGCTCCCGCATCAAAATCCATCACACTGTAAACCCAGTGTCCATTTGATTTTCCATGTTCTTGTCCTCTGGGCCCCTACAAAACCGTAGGATAATTGTGCCTCAAAATCCTATTCCAGTTATGTGAGCTCCTATATCAGAAAAAACACTCCTACCATCAGTGCAGGACCTCTTTGCCATCGGCTACCTGATTACCTTCATCGAGGGCGTTAACGGATTCGCCTCCTCGGCCATCCGCGGCCTGGCCCCAGCCGTCTGCGAGGTCCTTGGGCCTTGTCTTCCTGGTACCCCTCAAGATCCTTAAGGGGGGTATAGGGAGATGGGTTTTGTTTGAGGGTTTAGAGTAGAGCAGGCATGGGAAGGAAAATGGAAACGCTGACATTGGTCAGAGTCCAGATTTAGGGTTCAGACTTTAGGGAATATTGCTTAAGGAGGCATCGGGGAGTAATCATAGGGGTTATAGGGACTATCATACAAGGATCATTGGGATCCAGTCTCCCTGAAGCACCAGTACGTATCTTTCGAAGGTTCAGGGAGGTTTTGGGGGTTTCCTTCCCACATCTGTGTAATCCGTCCAGTGTCTCTTAATCATAATATGAATATCTAGACGGCTCTCATAGTCCAAGCCGGCTTTTTCTTGCCACGGTTGCTTTCTTCTAGCCTTCCAGATTGGGCTTAGTTTAGGGATTAGGGTTTTTGAACGTGTGTTTGGGGTCTGTCTGTTCCACATACACGAGAGTGGTACGCCCAAAGATTTGCAGCTGCAGCATTGGTGTGTTTGAGTACCCAGGCCCCATGCAAAGTCAGACCGCTTGCACAGAGATGTTCGGAGGCAAACGCGAACTAGAGCCTGGAAGGCGTAATTTGCTCCACTTCGGAAGAAGAAGGACATTTCCCAGCAGTTTCCAAAGAATGGCGCATGGGGTAGTGCTCAACATTAAGTACGCACTGCTGAGACATGATTTGAGACTTCGGAGGATGTAGGCAGAGTTTTTAAGTGTACGTCCTCAGTCCAAAATCCCCGAACCCTAGACTCTGTTTTGCATAGATTCAGTGTCGAGGAGCCAAGGCAAGGGTTGAGGTCATTTCTTTTTCGACGTACTATGACTGACGAGTTCTGAGCATAAATTTTCAATGCCTTCTAATAACCAGGTATAAAAATGTGCATATATATATATACATATATGTATGCGTGAGTGATTTGTATTGGGAATCAACTTGGGCTTGAATAACAGTAATGTGGAAACCTTTGTAATCAGATGTATTCTGCCCTTGATATCCTTGAGCAACTGTCGTAGAGCGCGCCCCCCCACCCCCAAACTCTCTAACTATTCTGGCCATTTCCTTACCCCCTACAGCCTTCAGACCAGTGCTTTCATATGTGTGGGCCCTGCATCAACCCTAAACTCTATGAAGTATAAGCCCGACAGTTGCCTCAGGTCGCCAAAGAAGCCGTCGGAGAGGACTGCCTGACGATGCAGATCAACGTCGCCCCTAGACTGCTCTGCAAGAGCACAGGAGTTGCATAAAGACCGCTTGGGGGCTTATAAGTTGTAGTGTGGGGAGTGGCTTCAGGATCCCAACATATGTTGAGGCTGCGCGGTGACACTGGCTTGAGCATAGACCCAAAAGTTGTTCGGGATGTCTCTGCAGCGCTGTATCCCGCGAAGATGAGCACCATGCAACATCTAGCATAAGCCCCCATTAAAAGGACGACCCAGATTCACGCTGCCCTGAACTGATATGGGGCATGATAGGTTTCCCTTTTTCAGGCCTTTAGTTTATCAGGGTCTTGGTGTACCCTCTCCGTGCGTAAGCAGGTTGGTCTTCACTCTTGCCAGCATAAGCTGCACTAAACAAGTCCCGTAAGATACGTGTTTTTCGAAGGTGATTTGGCTTTTCTACTAAGCCAGATACTGTAGGCTTTCTGGTGTTAAGTTGCCCGTCTGCCGTCTGGAATGATCTGATGGTCCTTTGTTATAATGGAAGAACCCTCCACATGGTCCGGTGCAATCGCAGAACACGTGTTGTGTTTTGACTTGGAGCCTTGGGTGGTTTTGCCGGTCGGTCTGCCTTCTCGGGAGGATTCCCAAAGAGCGTCAAAAATCTGGGCCTTAACCTAAAAAATATCCAAAGAATTCCTCTCAGATTCCTCTGGGCACCATCGGGCTGCTCTTGGCGACGGGGGCTTGGAATGTCCTCTTCGGTGTGCAGGTGAGCTTGGGGCTTGGGTTGCCGAATTTGACAACAAAGGGCTCATTTTGGGTTGGTGAAAAGTCAGCAGGTGCATAAACATAAACATCCTAGTGGTTCTGAGATGCACGCGTGGGACTTTGGATAAAGATGTTATGTGGCATAAGCGCGCCGTGCTCCAAAGCACCCTGCCTGGCTCAGACTGCAAGATCCTGGTAGTCAGGCCAGCAAGACAGAAGAATGATAATATGGTTTTTGGCGTAGTCCGTGCAGTACTTATAAGGATTGGCTCATTGTGAAGCAACAAAATCGCACCGTCCCACCAATGTGCTTCTGCATCGAATCCCAGCAGCGGAATTTGATCCAAACTGTGAAAACACGCACTATAGTAAATGGTGGAGGTCGCGCTGGCCTAACACGAACAAGTCTTCTATGAGGTGTGCATCGGAGCGGTGCGGAATGCAAAAGGGCAGGATGGCCCTCATAGTTGCATCATAACAATCGGAGCGTGAAAACAAGTTCCTGGCAACATGATCTGATTTGTACGAAGTTTCAAGCTGCACAACAGACACCCAACGTTGAAATCGCAACGCATGTGGTAAATAGCTGAAGCCCAGACATCAGTACGTGGCAATCTCAAATCAGGGTCATTGTGCTCTTCCAAAATCTGTGAAGCTTAAACCGCCTTTCTGTGATGTTTAAATAGCAGCCTTGCGTGTATCTGAAAGTGGCGCCCTTCAGGTCCTTGGCGTTGGCCAGGGGAAGCCTCAGGTGCGGGATTCCTCCTTTCAGGAGTGCAGGGACCCAGTTCCTTGGCAAGTGGGTAGCATGCCGTCTGTGTCATTGTGGGTAAGCGTAAAGATGGGAGTCATGGCTTCAGCTGGGTACTTGGGCGCCTTCACCAATCCAAGTAGCAGGACAGCGTTGTCGGCGTGAATGGGAGGGAGACATACATGTAAGCACCAGCATTGTGGGGCTTGAGGTCCATAATGATTAAGTGGCTAAAAAGGGCCCTTCCTGGAGTCAGTAGGGGTTCAGCGAGCCTACACCTAAAATCAGCGCTGTCATCATTATAGAATGCCCAATCCACGGTCTGTCGGAGCAGCAATTGCATAGGCACTGTTTAAGGCTTTGACATGCTTTGACCTTTGTCGGGTACTTAACTGGTTATGCGAAGGCTTCTAGAATCTGATTGTAGAAACCCTCCTCAAGATCAGCTCTAGTCATCGCATTGACTAGTTTCCATGCCTGGACTTGGGCATATGACTTGCGCTCTAGAAGACTTAGGTTGACACCACACCCTGAGTTGAGGCAGCTTTGCGAGTTTGTACAGATCTTGCATAAGGAGCGTTCTGCTCCCCATTGGAACACTGAACCCATATGAGAAAACTCGCTGGTCGAAAGGTTGTTATGTTTTCGGTTCCATGTTTTGCTGCGGGAGCATAACCCATGCGATGTTTTGCGTGCGCCCACCTCACATTCATCATGGATGCGGATTTTGACCTTTACTTTCAGCTGGTTGATTGATGAGGTGGGTCCAGATAGGGTGCCAAAGATGACGCGTGGAAACATTATCGCGCCACGTGCATGCCAATAGCAAGCTTAGTGAAGACTCATCGGTGAACCCAGGTACCCAAATCAATGGTGTTTCCCAAGGGGGATGCATCATTCGTCTCACATACAAGTCATGGATGTCAGTCCAAATTTCAAGACTTGACGGATATCTCCCGGCTAGTCGCTTGGGCAACTAGTGCCGGGTGAGTGACGGTGAGTTATCAGCTTTATGTCAGGGTTTCTGAAATTTTTGGTCCCCTCTTGAGTCCTTACAGTGGGAGGCTGTCGCCTGGGGGTAGGCAGGAGGACCTTGTTTTTCAGAAGTATCCCTGTTATCCCTTGTGCAGAAGCACGCCTATGACTGCTTGAACCGTCTTCGTTGCAAAACGGTTGCGACTTGAAGGACATGCAGATCCAGTGAATTCTGCAATTAATTGCATAAAACTCGCGAATACTCGTTCTGCTGCATACATGACACTGAGCCGCGTGTAGTTTCGTAAGTGGTCACATATACATATGAGCATACACGCTCAAAATGTAATATGCTCCTGAGGCTACTTAAGGCCTCGACAATAGAAGAGTGTTGTACTCTAGGACTGCAGGCTCCGAGAGTGCATAGGCGAAGTTACTTTACTAGCCTACTCAAGCTAGGGTGGAAGAGTCTCGGCTTTCCGCGAATACATGGCTGTCATGGATGATGACTTCTTGCTCGTGTGTGATATATTGGCCCAGCAGCACCCCCAAACCCGACAGACACTGAATCCCCAAACCTGCAATCCCCACCCTAGCCCGTACAGATCCGAAAGCATGGCTGCAATGTGGAAGATGATTCGCATCATGCCGCTGGTGCTGGCAGCCAACGCTCAGGGCAGCATTTGGATCCATGATATTGGCAGGTTTTCTTGGCGGGTTTGCGATGGCTTTATGCACGCCGTAATGTAAGAGGGAAATCTGCCCTGCCCCCCCAAGAAAGGGGGAAATCCAATTTTCGGCTTTGCTTTTGGGAGCTCTGGAGTCCAAAGTGCTTTGGGGATTCATTTGCCTCAAGAAGCTGCCACATCAGTGCAAACTGCAGGAAGGGGCTTGGAAAGTTTCAGCACAAGCTGCTCTGCCAGATTCCGACTGTTGCAATGGGTATCATTGGGTTTGAAGTTTGGGGCTTCATATTGCTGAATTGGCCAGGTTCCAAGCTAAAGCTTTGCTGCTGGTAGCCTTCAACCCTACATTGCTTAGTCCAGGCATCAACGAAGACCCCTTGGCGGAGTGGTTGAGTGACCTGAAGTTCTCACTTCAGGATGTGACGCAGGACAGCTGCCTTCTTTGGAGCAGTTGAGATAAGAAGGTTTTGAGTACATGGGACCTGTATTGCACAGAGGTCAGATTAGGGGTCTTATGGATGAGTCACGACGCATGGAGGGGCCTTGTGGGACCATATCATGTAAGTACTATCCACCGTCCAAAAGGACCCTCCTGTTTTGAAAGGACATGTGGGGAATATTCATCCAGGTCAGGTTGCCAATGCTGTCAAGAACTGGCTGCAAACTTCTCAGCTACGGTCGATCCTGATCCAGAGCAAGGAGAAACTCAAATTAGTCAGCGGTCCTTGGAAAGCAGAACAACTGGTGACAGTACATGTTCTTATCTTGGTTCTCCCAATTCACCACGGGTCCTTAGACAACCTAGCCTTGTTGCAGCTGCCGCAAGCCGTGGATGTTGCTGCTTACAACTGTGGCTTGGACTGTTTCTCACTTTTCCGCTTGGGAGAGCATGTAATTAATTTGTTTCAGAACCTTGCTGTTGCCTCTGTTGCAAAAGCACACCCACCTCTGACCTGATACTAGGGCCCACTAGACCATGAAGTCATGTTGCAGTAGTTCTAAACCAGGACTTACTTGAAGTTTTCTGAAATACACTAATGTTGGATCCCGATTAGTGTGGGGTCTCTTAATTGTGCGAAGTTTCGCCGAAATTATTCAGCACCCCCTAGGTTTGTTTGGGGTCCCTTAATTGTGCGAAATTGCGCAGCCGAAAAACATAGTTCCGAGAATAAGTGATTGGAATAATTAGATAAGCCCAATTGCTTTGAAAAGCATGGCAAGCAGTAAGTATTTAGTTTAAGGTTCTAATCCAAGCTGCCCCTTGTTATTTAGACTAGAACCCCTTGTCCAGAGTCCAGAACCTCAAACCTCCTGATTTTGAGGACCTCAAAACTCTGGATTTTAAGGCTCCAAGCCAGGTCTAAAGCTATAGATTTCTTATGAGGCCGCTTGTTCGAGGAGGCCTAGCAATCATGTTTCCTAAGGGGTAGTCCAGCAGCTGGCCGAATCCTGAAAGATGTGGGGTCCCCTAATTATCCGTCAGATCCGGGACCGCCAAAACTAGCAGAAAGCTAAAACCTTTGAATTTTAAAGGCTCAGCAGTTAAAGCCAAGCTTCCAGGACTTCAAGTTTCCGGAATTTCAAATCTCAGAACTCCGGATTTTAAGACTCCAAACCAGGTCTAAAACTATAATAGATTTCTTGGGAGACCGCTTATTCGAGGAGTCCTAGCAATCATGTTTCCTAAGGGGTAGTCCAGCAGCTGGCCGTATCCTCAACAATACGAAAGATGTGGGGTCCCTTAATTATCCGTCAGATCCGGGACCGCCCAAAACAGCAGAAACCAGCATTGAAAAGCCAAGCTTTCAAAATCTGAAATGTCCGGATCCTTTCTAGAATTCTCCTCAAAGCCTTTTGAAAGGTTTCTGAAAACTGAAATCCTCTGAACTCCTCAAACCTCTCTGAATGCCTTCCGAAACCCTTCTGATCTAGAAGCCGATCCTGATCCATCCTATTGAATTTAATCTAAACCTAAGATCCGAGCTGATCCTGATCCATTCTATATTGAATTTCAATTAAAACCGAAACACCAAGGATTGTTTGGGGGGTACACCCACCCCCTTCTCCATTAAATAGGGATCCATTTTTGTTTGGGGAGGGCCCACAGTAATCAGGACCCGACATTACCAACTTGTGGGCCTTTTTATGGAGAGCAGGGAAACCGGTATCCACGTACATTGCAGTACGCTGAGCACTACCTAGGCACAATCACGTTTGCTTGCTCCCAAGAAGAAAATCCATGTAGGAAAACGGGGACGCCTTGAGGAGCTTTCCGGTATTACTGTGAAGGCCTCCAAGATTGTTTGCGAGCGCCTGGGCTGAGCAAGCAGTTTTCCGAGGTTAGGATGAAGGATTGAAGCGTTTTGGGGTTCGGGTTCGATGGGATAAAGGCAATGAGTTGCGAAATTGAGCATGAAGTAGACTGGGGCTGGGACGGTAAACCGACTTGGGAAATTCATTCATCCGAGGTTTTTTGAAAGGCAGCGAGACGGAGTGAACTGTCAAGGGAAGATTGAATCCGCATCTTCCAAATGCAGGCTACCAGGGTCGTGATGCCTATGACAAAGTACAGCACGCTCTATATTGGTTCCGTATAAGGCCTTTGTAGGCCGCTTCAAAGAAAATTGGAACTCCTTTGCTGACAGTGGGTTGGTATGTCACTGTATATGAGCCCACTACAGCCACCTTTCCTTCGCAATCCCTGAATAATCACCCCACGCCCTACAAGGAATCCAAACAAGTATCCTAGTGGTTCGGTCCTTGTAGCGCAGGGTTCCGCGGACAGCCACCACAAGGGTAGTTTCCACAATAAGGGTCCTCTTGCTGGGGATCCTGTAACGACACTTTTGATAGTATTGCTGGAAATGTTGCCATGCTCTCCCTGGAAAAGGCGTCAGAGGTATCCCGCACCAAGCCCTTGAACCTGAAATCTGTGAGCGCAGGAACCTACAGCTCTCGGAGATTCAGTCTCTCGGATCATCTTAGGATTTTTGTTGAAGCTTAGAATTTTAGATTGAGTTTGTTCCTGTTTCCATGGTTTCATAGCCTGCGTTTAGGTAAGGGATCTATATTGAGCTCTTTAGGACTACAGGAAACAGTATTTGCAATGAGGTTATCAGGGAGCTATAGCAAATTTACAAATTTGATTTTGGAAGGCCTGAAAGCGTTTTCTTTTGGGTGTTTTTAGGTCGGCCGTGGCGGGTGTGGGGATCTCGGTCACCCTCAACGGCGTTGGCATCCAGTGCACCTGGGCTTGCCAAGACATCCTATTGTGGACGCATACCTGGACGCCCCTATGTAGGTCCTTTTTTTTTCTCTGGTTGTTGAGGTATTCTAGTAGATCACCCAATGAGGACTACATAGGAGCCCTTGCACAAGTTATAGCATCTCTACCAATTGGAGAGCTCCAGAATAGATCTCAATTGCAAAAGCCTGAGCCATTTGCTGCTACTAAAGGTTTGGCGCGTATGTCTATCCTCCTTTTTGCATATGGGTGAAGAGACA